TAGAGGTTATCTAATAATCTATGGCAATGTTATTTAGGACTAAATCCTTCTTGTCATACCAGACTTCAGGGAAAGTATATTTCCTTAAATAAAAGCCAGTTGCCTGTTATTGACTGCCCCTGTTGCTAAACAGGCCTAGCCTCCAGTGAAGCAACAACAGCAGCAATAATGAAGGGTGCAATGTTTTTAACCAACAGGATTTAAAATAAGTTGCTATTTTGTTGCTGCCAGAATTTTTTTTTCCAGAGTCCCAAATCTCAACTGAGTGGCTCCAGCCAGCTGGAAAATTTTACACTGACCTTTAGTCTCCTTGCTAATTTGGTGGAATGGTAATGACATTACTACATATTCAAACAAAATTGTCTTAATTGCAAATTAGCCGGAGGAGGCTGAAATTTTTCAAATTAAATCTGATTGGAGATGGAGAGAGGGAAATGGAATTTCCTCACTAACAATCATTTGTGGCATGTGTTAACAAATATAATGAAATGTCAAGTTTGCCAATTCCTCTGGAAGTATCATTTTCAATTTATGATTACAGTGTCACTTAATGCTGATGTACCCTGGAAAGTGGGTGTCAGGGTAGAAAAAAGGAAAAAGGTGAGAATGTATGCAAGCTGTTTAACAGTGTGCCCTTCATTACTCCCCTCTCAGAAAGGCCCTGTTTTTCATTATCAAAAAACTCATATCACCTCTGTCATATTTACTATACACCTTTGTCATAAATAGCATCCAATTAGCAAAATTTTTACATAAGGCAACGCATAAAAAGATTTCTGCCATACATTTAAATGATATTCATAAAAGGTAATCTGCTGACCTTTCTTTATATGCAGTAATCTATGCAACCAAGCAAGAAAACTAGTTGTAATTGTTCTGCTTTTCTGTGAAGTAATTGCTTAGTGGCTAAATAGAGAATATTTGACTTTTATATATAATTTAGTAACACCTGCCTTTTCAAATCCCAAATATACTTTTTAAGATAACCCCCCCCCCCTTTTTTTTTCTTAATGGGGAGAAAATGAGGTGTACAGCATTGATTGATCTTTCTTTGTGGATTTGTTTTACACATTTAGTCAGTAGAGAGATTTGTTAGGGAAACAAAAATTAACATATGCCAGCTAATTGTTCTTCTTTCTTGGGCAGCAGCCAGAAGCAGCACATTAGCAGTCTAATAATAACGACTGGCACCCTGAAGGCATCCCCAAATGCATCTGTTCCCAATAAACCACAAACTGTTATTCTATTCACTCTAAGCCAGCAGACTGGGCTGGGAATTCTTTGTTACGTATATAAATAAAAGCTGAGATAATGTTACTAAATACTTCATTTAATACATCTACAAAGCCACTGGTGTAAGCTTCTTCAGGATGTGCAAAAGTATCTATATAGTTTGAGAAATGCAGGAAGATGCACATGCATCTATGTGTGTGATGTTGCAAATAATATTTTTAAAAAGTCAACACCAGAATGCATAATTAGAAATGTTATATTTAGATCATATCATCAGCATTGCATAGTTAGATGTTAAAATTATAAAAAGAAAACAGAAAAACAAAGCAGTTCTCTATACTTAACAAACTCAGCTACATGGTTACATATTCACTTTTAGAAATCATAAACCAGAATAAAATGGCACATTGGGAGGCTAGAAAAAGTGTCAATATTGCAATATCAAGGAAAGATCTATCTTGCTTGATGAATACTTGACAGGACACTGAACATTTTGTGAACACGGTAAAAGTTATCAAAACAGAAGAAATACATCTTTTTTCTATGTAAACTACTCATGTTTACAATGTTATGGTAACTTATTCTGCCATCCTGCAATAATAAGCATATCGTGTTTGTAGGCGTGCAATCACAAACTGATAAAATAGAATTTATTATTAACTAAAAGGAAGCATGTAAAAGCCAGGATCAGCACTTAGCCACATCAGCTCATCAGAATATAGTCAAGGTTGGGTGAAACTCATTATTCAGAACTCACAGCCTTGATAACTTTGATTTTCATCCATCCATAGCATGGCCAAAAGGTACCATTTAATGAAGTACCATTCAGAGAGTAAATGGGGTCATATAATAGACAGTGCGGTTGCACCTTGTGTTCATGTACTGATAGCTGTTAAGGGTACAGTGATGAACCAACAGAGCTCATTTCTCTTTGGTAATAAATTCATGCTATTAATATTTATCAAATGTGTGGGCCGTCTCAACTGAGCCAGGGCACATGAGACCATAAATATCTACTATTATATCAAATCTGAAGCTTCTTTTGTACAGTGTATAAACTTTAGGCTATTTTTTAAGGGTGTGTGTATTGACCACTCTTCTTTGAAACCAATTTGAAGTGCAGTTGCTCATTTCAGATATCACTGGTTCCAAAGGGAACTTTAAACTGTGGTTTCATTTTAAATCACTCATCTAAGATTCTATATTAATTGCTCACCATCAAACGCAATTAGCAATTCTTTCATGTGTGGTTTATGTAATGTAATACTTCAATTACATTATTCATTCAGGTTCTGTTTTGGATTATAGGCTGAAAATTCTTTATTAGTGTCGATGTAACCATGCTGCTAGAGTATTTTAAAATTTACTGATTGAATAATTAATTGGAAAAGAACAAGCTGCAGATTCCTGATGGATTTATGAGACAATTATTCTGTTTTGCACTTATCTACATTATACTGTAGAAGCAATGAAGGGGAAAATATTATTGAAAAAAATTCATAAACATAAGATCAAAAAGATTTTTAAAAGTTTACTTTTTTAATTAAAACTTAGACATTATAGAGTTTTAAAAAGTAATATGTCAGATTAAAAAAGATACATTTCTCTTTTCTTTCTATTAGAATTGCATTTGCAGTACCTTACACCTAAATGTAGTATGAAGAAACAACTCTAATATCTTAGCGGAAATACCTTAGCAAAGTTTAAATAAATATATTCTTTATGCAAAAAGTAAATGTTGAATAATATTGATCAATGAGTGATACCAGACATACTAGGAAAACACGCATACAATGTAGTCCGTCCTTTATCTTTACTTCTACTACAAAACCAAATGATCTCTTTTTTCCTAAAGAAATGGAGAGGGTCAAAGCTGGTAATCACTAATAATGAGGCTATATAGGAGATTTATTAAAACATATCCCTACAAACTTTCATTAAGCTAGAGTCACCCAGTTGATTACTCGAAATTTCTGCGCAAACATTTGCAGAGTGAGATAAAGTATATTCTTTTCAACAGTCTTTATACCTGATGACATTATCAGGTTGTGCTTCAATTTTGTATATTTTTGAAGGAAATTGCAGTTATTATATTTTATAATCACCCATTTTCCTTTGTCATAGCTCTCTTAATTAACAATATGTACATTATCTAGTAAAACATATCAATATGTGAAATACACCTTAACTCAAATAACCACCAAAGAAATAGAAGAAAATTGACTCTGAAAATACTACAACATTTTTGAGAAAATGCTTGATTAATAAAATCTATTTGTATGTATGTTATGATTGATCTAAAAATCCTCTTTGGTATACGATATACCTTTCTATTTGTGATTTTTACTGTTCCTGCTTTTCAAGTTGCTCAAAGCAGATTTCCTTTTAATATCTGTAAACCTATCACAGAAAGATACTCTCTTGCTTCAGCCTCAAGGCAGTGATTTGTGCACTGATAGGTGTACTTTGTTTAGTGTCACCCATGGTGTAGATTGAATAGATTTTGTAAAAGATGGCATTACTTTAAAAGAAACATACAATTTGACAAGCAATTGCATTTTACTTTCATTTTATTGCCATATTTTCACCACACTCATTGTTTTCTAGCTGTCACTAAATTGTTCATTTTCTTAGTCTGTTACATCAGTGGAGCTATTTACTGTTTATAAAGCAATATGCACTTACAGGTTTGGGAGATGGTTTGGGTTCTGAGGGTCGCATGTGCAAGTGGGTCATCATTGCTTGAAGACGTTCTCGTTCTTTAGAAAGCTGTTAAGAAAGAGTGAGATCAGAAGCATTTTAGAAATGACCGATACAGCTATTTTATTGCAGTGATACATCTTATCATTGAGCTTGTCTCGGAGTAATGATTCCTGCATATAAAAATCTGTGTCAGTAGGAACTTATCTGGGTGGAAATGCAACTTTAGCTATGAAGGGGGTAAAAACTTGAATAGCTTTCCTTACGTTAAAGGGTCAGAGAAAACAAATAACACTTCATCTTTTTGTCAATAAGAGAATTGAGGTCACAGTTGCCTTGACAGTAACAAGTTACTGAAACCATAAATTAGAAGGCCCATGGTGTCTCTTTAAAGTCCTGTGGACACTGTTAGCAATGGACTCGTGCCAACAGCTGTGAAGGGGTGAAGGGTTCTTAAAGCGCAGTGCCTGCCAGGATTGTCTACACACTTCATGCATTCCCACTGAGGTCCAGTTAGTGCCCCCTCCAATCTGCCATCATCAATCTAATTCAATAGAGTGACAGAGACCAGGCAGTGTGAAACGTTGAACCCTGCCATGAAGTCAGCATCTATACTTGCACTGGGTCTCATTACAAGTGACGGACCTTACTTTTCCATCAGTCAGACACAGCAGGGAAAAAAAAAAGGCATAATTGGTCACACTGCAGACTGTCATCATCAGCTGATCTCTTATGTTTTACTCCACCTTTTATAAGTGGTAAACAGGTTTGCAAAAAGCTTTTTAAAACTACATCAGTAATTATGATTTTTATTTGTCCTTGATTGTTTTACACGTAAAAATAAAACATTTTTTATAGCTCTCTGAGAAAAAACTACAACATGATGGATTTAAAACAACTCAAGATGAATTAAAGTGTGAAGAAAAATAAATTGTATGTTTAATTAAATAAAACAAAGTATTGGTTTGATTGATAAAAAATATTCTTTAAGTTGAAATGCTAAAAAAAGTCTTAAAAGGTATTAAAAACATAATAAGAATATTACAGTGATATAATTGCTTTCTGATCAGTTTTATGAGTTCTATTGATTTTTGGCCAAATTCTGTTTCAATATTAACTAAAATTTTAACATAAATTAGCAGCACTTGATACAATACATATATTACCATCTGTGATATTATAAATGATTTGCTGCCATTACTCCAATATAGACGATCTTAACATTTTTTTGCAAAAAATTTGTGCAAGTGCTTTAATTAAAAAAAAAAGGTAGAAAAGTAAAAGATTTTTCTCAGGGTAATATACTACAGGCTGGTACTATAAAGATTTTTGCTATACTCTACAATCTATTTGGAACAACAACAACAACAAAAAAAACCATGATTAGTTCATGTACAAACTGTCTCCACAATAAAATCATATTCAGTTGGAGGGTCTGGTACAACCACTATTAGGGAAAACTTAGATTGGACTCTTTTTGCATATCCAACTATAAATGATGCAATCTAAAGTTGATATGTCTAAGTAATAAGTAAATTAAACTATATCAATACATCCTGAGTTATCAATCATTGGCATCATTATAAGCAATCTAAAATTCCATGTATTTCTTTCAGGCATTGTTTTTAAAGACTCAACTCTGCCCAGTACTCAATTTAACCCAACAGAAATATGAGAAAGGAGTCTATTAAGTTAGTATTCGACAAACCTGTATTTCTAACTGTTGGACCACCTGCATTTGCACTCGACACTGGGCAGTGCTTCGGTCATCCAATGCATGTTCATTGTTAAGGTGCCTAAACAAACACAAGATACAAAACTGAATGTTAAGCAATGTGTGTTTCAGTGGTATATGCTCCACTTCAAAAGCACTGCACTGAAGTCATATTTTCCTTCACAGTGGGGAAAAAGGAACACCTTGAAATTATACAGAAAAAAGGTTTCTTAACATTAATAATGAAGAAGAAAAATATATAGACACACATACATGTAACATACATAGAAGAATTAAAATGGTGTTTCTGAGAAAGAACTAATTTGTAAATAAGTATTAAAAATTAGTAGATCTAGATCCAACAAATAGAAACCTTTGTTCCATTAAGCCTCTTCCCTTGAAAAATTAAATCAGTGTGTTTCAGTACTTCCTCACTGATTGTAACAACTAACTTCCATATATCTTGTCACAATGTCATTCTTGATTGAAGGAAAACTGTTGACTAAAATAGTGAGGTGTATCAGGTCAAGTTTGAGGTGTGTGGTTAGATTGCAGGAGAGGCACCTCCACTATATCTGTCTGCCCTAAGCTCAACTCTGCTTAGCTCTGTTATGAATTGTAACAAAAACTAAAGTTCACTCACTCTTTCTGGAAAGGAGGCATGAAATGTTAAACCACAGGTTAGCTTATGATATAAAGTGTCACTAATTCCTTATTAATGAGACATTTAAAAGTTGTTTTTCAGATTTTTCACCAAAATTTTAATGAAAAATGAGATTATTTTCTATCATTGTGCTGCAATGGTAATTGTATTCTAAAGGTTTAATATTGCTGTATTTTCTTATGGTTTTTTTTTCCACTATGAACTCAGGGAACACATAGATTTATTCCACAATCAGTCTAAGTGATGAATATTTCTAAAAAATGCTTTAGCTATACAAAAAGCCTACGGTATAATTGGAGAAAGATAAGTAGAATACACAGCTCCGCAAGAAAATATATATGCAGCATTAACATTTATTTTTGCAAAAGATTACTTTTAAAAAGGATTTTTTTACACTTGTGTACTTTTTAGTAATAATTATCCTATACTTAAAGAACTAAAAAAAAAAGTACAAAATGTTTGTATTATATACTTGGGTCTTAGAAACCTATTCAATTTATCTATACAGCTTTTATTAGAATAGAGACTATAGACTACAATAATAGTCAATGAGGTTTTGTCTTGATTGAATTTTTCTGTGGGACACAAAAGAACCTTGCCATTAAAATAGTCCTTTATTCTCCCGTATGAAGGCGAAAGGTTTTTAAAGTGTTGTGATGTTCAGTAATGAGCCTCTATCTAAATTATCATTGGTGACAAACTCACAAAGCACTTTTCGAGGACACATAGTTATGAAATGCCAGAGCTGCCACTTTCTTTTCTGTAATTATAGGCTAGCTTGCAACCCTTCAATGATCATTTATAGAACAGCCTCCAGTGGATTACTGAGAACTTGAAAAACACATACATACCTCTGCCACATCTCCCTTCTCCTTTCGTTGCTATTGTTTACCAGTGATATGTAAAATAATAGTGCCTATTCATTCTCCCTACTTAATTATGCCAATCAAAGTACAAAATAGTGTCAGATATAAATACAGTGTAATAAGACTAAATAAATAGGCCGAATATTAACATTAAATTATGAATTTATGTATTTGTGACTATTTTGTGCTCAAATTATTCTCTTTTATGTTTTTATGACTATCTCAGGTACTACATATTGCTGTTCAAAAATTCTCTATGATTTATAAATCAAGAATGAGATAATACTGAAAAATGAGAGGATTGGTGGATTTTTCTCAGTCAGTGCCTAATTGCTGTTTCAAAATGCATATGCAAAGGGACATTTCATTAATCATTTAATCATGTCCCTTGCAGGAAGTTGGAACTAATGTTGCAAATACCCTTTTTATATGAATGCTCCATAATACTATCTTTTGCATTTGATATATTGCCTATGTCATAAATTATATCTGCTTCAAAATGACCAAGTAGGGTTGTTATCCCTGAAGATGCTTGTTATAAAACCTTTATTAAGTTTCTTTCTTTTACTTATCGGTAGCTCTATTTCACAGCTTCATACTAACTAACAATAACACTCTTTCTGATGGCAAAGGTCTGTAAATTACCCATGCAATCACTAACACCATTTCACAGGCCTGTTCTACTTCTACTGGTCTGCTAACAAGACGATTACACACAAATTACTGAATGTCTATGAAATATTTAAATGCATTCTACTCTACTATGCATTAATAAGAGCAAAGCAAGCTCTGGAATTCTGGTTAGCTCCAGTCCCTAATGTCCCCTAATGAGCTTCTTACCGAGAATGCAGTTCAAACACAGAGGTGAAGAAAAAATGCAAAGGGTGCATTCAGAAAGGCAGCACTGAACAAACATTGTGTGAGCCAGCTCTAATTTATGGGTCACTTTATAGGTATATTGATTTTTGTTTTCAAAATGGAATAAACGATGTGGTCTACTGACGTTCTTTCAAAATTGCATTGAATCTCTGTGTTAGGTAGGTAGTGTGGACTAGAAAAAAATGTAAATAAGCAGTCAAATTCTTTCTAAAAACAGTTAAGCAAGCATTTCAAAAAGATAATATGTAGAAAAGGATCCTTCCAATTTATTTAATGCACGATTATCTTTGATGAAGCTTTTAAGGTTATGAATGCCCGTGGTAACTTCAGTTATATACACCCCAGATAGCAGTTCAATTTTAAACTCTAGATTTTTCAAATTCATTTAAAATTATAGTATTTTATAAGCTCAAAGCGGATCAGATTTAATCCAACTATGTCAGTTTTTAACAAAATGTTTCACTTGCAAATCACTGATGTTTGATTTATTTTGCATCAAGCTTTTTATGTTTAAACACTGACAAGAGTTTAAATACAAAATGTTAGCTGTCACTATTCATTTAGCTGATTATGTGAGATGCCTTAGTTTTGAGAGATGGGGGCACTGTCACCAAAAGAAACAACATTCTGACAAGTTCAAGGAATGCTTTCTTGAGGTCATAATTTTGTAGCCATGCTGCCTAGTCAAAGACAAAGAAATCAGCAATACACACTAAGCAAAAGCATAATTTTTGGTCAGCTACCAGAAAAAAGACAACATATTTCCCATTAAACAAACTGTTTCTACTACCTTTACTGTTCAGCTCTCTATACAGCGTCAAGACTCAAAAATTTTGTCTTTGTGAATACACTTAATTAATTTATTATCCACTAGTTACTTTCTAACAGATTGATATATATATATATTTTTTAAATATGTTTTTATTGATATTTTAGAGAGGAAGGGAGAGAGAGATAGAAACATTGATATGAGACAGAAACATCAATGGGCTGCATCCTGCACTCCCCACAACCTGGGCATGTGCCCTGACTAGGAATCGAACCCGGACTTCTCAGTCCATGGGACAATGCTCAATCCACTGAGTCACACCAGCTGGGCACGGATTGATATTTTTATGGACACTGACCATTTTGTTCTTCTTCAAAGAGAGTAAATCCATCTTTGTATTTCAGACCATGTTTTGTTTGCTGGCATCTGCATATGCAAGTTCAGGAACACTTATCTGCTAACTGGAATGTAATATAGTAACCTTTGGTTTAAGCTCTAAAAGTCATTTCATCTACATTCAAGCTGATTTAGGTCCAGTGGAATGATAATTAATTTTGCAGCCAAACTATACAAGTTTTTTCAGATGTTATTACACCTTGACATTTATAAGACAGTAATGAAGAACTAGTATTAAATAGTATTAGTGATCTAGTGAGATCTTCAATTAGTAGTCATAAAAATGATATGCTTCTGTCAACACCTACTTTACAGAAAAATTCAAAAATTTTCCTAAATATCTTTTTAGCCTGAACTTTCTTCATCACCTTTTATTTTCTCCTATTATTTGGCTGTTACAAATAACAGTTTGTAACATAATCTTAAGTTTTTTTATTCAATAGAAAATATTTCAATTGAATATTTAATATTGAACATTAAAGTCATTATATACATATATGCACATACGACTAAGAATATATATATATATATATATATATATATATATATATATATATATATATTGCTTTTCATTTGGTGCTGGGCATGTAAGAGTGTCTACCAGTTTGGGAATGTAATATAAGAAAGGGAAATTAGGACTGGATAGCATTTCTACTGTCATTTGTTATTTAACATATATAGGTTAAAGAGTAATAATGGAAGGTTTACTTGACTTCAAACTAATGAATAAGTTTTTGATACTAAAGTAAAGTTCAAGCTATACAGTTTATTTCTAGTGCATTTTAGAAATAAATATGCCACAATGTTTTCTCAAAAATACCCTTTTATAATAAACACTGGCTATAAAATTTCCAGAGAATGGACAAACAAAAAAACTAAGACCTAAAATCCTTTCACAGATTTTTGACTTATCTGACATTTTTTGTTGTTGTTCTAAGACTCCCAATTCTCTCCATTATTAGAAAAGAAATGCAAAATCTTCTGTCAAAGAAAATCTGTATTAATGGTGGTGCCTTCTTCATTTCATTTTCTACACAGACACTAAATAATCTGAATTTAATTAATAAAATTATTATTTTATTTCCTTTAAATTTCACAAACATTTTAAGTGAAACACAATACCAGTATGTAAATATATCTTATTAATATTTTATTTCAGTACAGTATACTGGCATTAGCAGGAATTATCACATATTCTTGAGTTAGGGAACTTAAAGCATATCATAAAAAATGAACTAACAGAAAGGCTTTAAAATCTGCTGTCATTTGTTATGTCATCCCTATACATTTAATGGGTTGGAAAAATGGTTAGTCTTTGGAACCAAAGTTGATATTTAATTGAAAGAAAATGCTTTCTTACTTGCAACACTTCAGTTTAAAAAATACTAGCATTATTATTTAAAAAAAGAACCATGAAGGGTAAATTGAAGGGTCCTATTCATCTTCTTGTTAGTAATAAAAATATATGTAAGTATTTAAGATTAATAAAAATGCTCCTTTCCATGCGCTATAAAGAAAATTATCCTGACAAAAAGATATGTTATTTTCTTTTTTTTTAATCCTCACTCGAGGACATTTTTGCATTTATCTTCAGATAGAGCAGGAGGAAGAGAGGGAGGGGGAGAGAGAGAGAGAGAGAGAGAGAGAGAGAGAGAGAGAGAGAGAGAAACATCGATGTGAGAGAGACACATTGACTGGTTGCCACCCACACGGCCCCAAGGGGAACCAGGGACAAACTGCAACTGATGTACATGCCCTTAGCGGAAACTGAACCCAGGACTCTCCGATCTGCAGGCCAATGCTCTAACTGCTGAGCCAAACCGGCCAGGGCAGATATGCTATTTTCTTAATGATTTATTTTGAATTTTGTCAGAAATAATTTAAAGCAACAAAATATATGGTGACTGGGCCAATTCTATGGTTTAAATTACCATACTGAAGAAACAGTAGCATTAGTCTTCTAACTAATCTTAATGATAAGGAATACAACATATTGATAAGGGCTAACATATCCAAATAAAGAAATTAGTTGTTAAAATAATTATTATTCCTATATTCTGTCTTCATTATAACAAATGTTATTTTTCCAAGACAGGAAAACTGTAGCAAAGTTACCTATCATTTTAATTGCTTTCTGCTTAGAACACTCAAATCAGTTTCATATTAAACAAAATGGTAACTCACAGCTGTTTTGGTATAATAGGAGTGTAAATTTTTATTTCAGGGCATTTAAAAAAGTTATAGTAATATAGGAAGCAAATTTTATTTCAATCGGTCAGAATAAAAAGAGGTTTAAAAAATCCTTGTGGAAGTCTTACTGTAATTCAAGTATAAAGTTATGATGTCAAGTACTTCTGCCTTGTCGTTAAGGTTATTTCCTCTATACCCTGTAGTCTACCATTTGTAAACACATCTTTCTGATGTTTCTGCCAACATCCTGGCAAAATAGCAGTGCAATTTCAAATGAGCTAATTAACTTAATTGTTGATGAAGCATGAAACAGTTCATTCACCCTGTTAGCTGCTCCATGACAACATGAGAGTCTCAGCCTGTGAAGTTACTCATCTCCATAAACCTCTCTGTAGCTCTCTGTTTAGAAGTCTTGAATATAGGAATTGTGCATGGAAAATTGTCATGAAAAATGCATATTCTCATTTGAAAAAGAAGATCTTAAAAATTAAAAAAATAAATTATCACTGTATGAAGACAGTTTTGATTTTAAGCTAGAGAAGCCATATAACCTATCATACAAACATACAGCCTTGTATGTTTCTTTATGATACTGAGGGCAACAAGTGTCAATGTGAATAGAACACAGTTATCTTAAAACTTAACTCCTATTAACTTTCAGTTTTTTTCTTGTTGTTAAATACATATTTTAAATATTATTATTTAAAGTACGGAATATAAAGATTTCAATTTTAAAAAGTACACCTGTAAAATATACTTAATATAATTCATAATTTTACTTGAAATTTTTATTGAAATTTAAGTGAACCCTGAAAACGTACTTCCCAATTATTAATGATACTATTATAGTAGGTTAATATTTTTCATTCATTCAAAAACCTCTATTGAATGATTTGTAAATTTTCTCAAGAAAAGGTAAGATGAAGAGTTAAACCTCTTAGTCTGACTTTGCTAATCCATTTGTTGAAACACACAGAAAATTTAGATTGTGTCTCATGATGGACCTTTATTTTCTTCTCTCAGCTTTCTTTTGTTTAGCTAAAACTCCCATATAACCCCCTTCCTCCCTTATAAAAGTTAAAAACGTACTTTAAAAACTGTCCAAAATCTTCACAAATGCTTTCACAGCCTGGCCATTTGCAAACCCCATGGCCATAGAGAGTGTGAGAGGCTCCAGTCTCTTCATGTGATGAGCTGCAACAAAGGGACAGGGCATCAGATTCATCTCAAAAAGCCATAATCATTGCAGGCTGCTAGAGCCTATCAGGTTACAACCAGTGACAAACAGGTCAAAACAGGTCAATTCAGCTCAGAGCAGTCAGAAAAATTTAATCGCTCTACTGAATAGTTCAACTGCCAAGGCTAGATGATATTCCAATTAGATGGGAAATAGAACCAAAGATGGCCATTAATAAAGGATGAAAAACTAAGAGGACTATATGATATAATACGCTATGCCTACCAAATGACCTTAATGTAACATTTACCACTAAATAAAAATATATGTGTTCATATGTGGTGAAGTGGGGAAAAAAACACCTGTATTTTTAAGAGAGTAATAAGATTTTTGAAATGCTCTTTTTAAAGAAGAGCATTAGGAACATTTAAATTGTTCAATACTATATATACGTGAGAATCATATATATTTCTACTACTAAGAGTTGATTTAAAAAAATTCTACTTTGGAATAAATTTCATTAGCTATATCCTTCTACAAATATCAAAGACTTTTGATAAGTGAGTATTATATCAGATAAAGAGATACTAGAGAAATCAACCAACTTCTGAAATATATACTCATCTTATTAATCTCAATTAAAACAAGTGTGAAAGCATTCAGAGGCATACCATTTTATAATAATGCAAGCTAACAAGAAACTTTTTTCATGATACTCAAATGAAGATCAGAAACATCACCAAATCATAACATTTTTACTTTGTACTGTAATTAAATGTCTTTGAAACATTTTTTTTTAAGAAAATGGGTTGTTTTTAAATTTTTTTTTTATTGATTTTAGAAAGAGAAGAAGGGAAAGGAAGAGAGAGATAGAAACATTGATGAAAGAGAACATCGATTGGCTGCCTCCTGCATGCCCCACACTAGGGATTTGGCCCACATGTGCCCTGACTGGGAATTGAACTGGCGACCTCTTGGTGTATGGGTGGACGCTCAACCACTGACCCACACCAATGGGCAAAATAATATTTGTTTATGAGAAAGAATATTTGTGGCAGCTAGACAGATATTCATAATATATAACAGAACACTATCATTCTACTGAACTTAAATTTGGATTTTAGAGCCATATATAATATAAGCCTCAGCCACATTGCTAAGAAATCCTATACTTATGTTTCATCTATTAAAAGGATACTTCTCATGTTGAGCAATATTTTAGCTTGTATATTTTATGTAAATTACTTTAAAGGATTTGATTGGACATCCATATATCTGAACAAATGGAACTAAATGTGTGGGTGCTCTTCTTACAAAGGCAGTCTTTATGCAACTAAAATAAAACAGTAACTTAAAAAATGATCTAACCTAATGTACTCAATGTTGATAACTGAAAAAAAAAATTATGAATTGTGAGTCAAATTTATTCAGCAAGTTATCACCATAAATTTATTTATTTTTTATTTTATTTTTTTTATCCTCACCTGAGGACATTTTTCCATCTTTTGTTCAGGTAGAGTGGGAGGGAGAGAGAGGAACAGAGAGAGAGAGAGAGAGAAACATTGATGTGAAAGGAACACATTGAGTGGCTGCCACCCGCACAACCGACCAGGGCCGGGGACAAACTGCAACCGAGGTACGCTCCCTTAGCGGGAACCGAACCCTGGTCTCTCAGGACCGCAGGCCGACGCTCTAACCGCCGAGCCAAACCGGCCAGGGCATAAATTTATTTTTAACATATTTATAATTCCATCATATATATAAATATATATAAATATATATTTATGTGTGTGTGTATATATATATATATATATATATATTTTTTTTCTCTCTCTCCTGATTCCTTAGTTTATGTGTGAAACTGGTTAAGTTAAAAAATGGTAAAATGTTCTTGTGGCATTCAGGTTAATCACAGCATCTTAGTCATAAAAATATACCAACACAATAATTCCACATATAATTATTAAAAATAACTTTTATTTCAGGCAAATTACTACTATAACCATAAACTGCTACTATTTGAACTGCTTTTTGTAATAAAATATAATATGTAAGATAAATAATCTAAAGATTTCCATTTAATTTTCTGTTTTACACATTTTCCCTTTGTTGAATACAAATCATAATTTTCAGTTTTATCAACAGTGAAAGTAAAATTTGGTGATAGATAAATATAGAATAAATCTTATGAGATTTACCTGTCTCGCCTTGTATTTAGAACTGAAGACTGTCCGTTCACTATGGAATGATGGGTTATTGGGGGTGACACTTTGGAAGTAGTGGAGGAGGTAGTCAAGGAGGAATTGTTAGTAGTGAGGTCTAGCCCTCCATGTTTAATGCCATTGTCTTCCATACTGTGAACTCCAGTCACTTCTTTCCATAACTGCTGAATCTCGGCAGGACTTAAACCAGCTATAAAATTAAAAAAAGAGCCACTAATATAACAAGGTGAAGTTCATTCACATAATGAAATTAGAGTTATTACTGTATTGATTAATAAAAGTGATGTTACATCATAATTAAAACAATAATAAGTGACTTTATACACTATCAGCACCACAGCTTTTCTCTTGAATTGCTGAAGACTAGCAATTTGGGAATAGTATTGAGAATAATAGAATTCAGAATAATATTAAGAATTAATTTAAAAAATCTGGCAAATTATATTTAAAAATTAAACTATTCAACTTTTAACAGTAGGTTTTACTTATTGTATTAAGTTTTTATTAGCGAGAAAGTGAAAGAGAAAGAGATTTGAAAATAAGACATATCAAAAGAAATTAAAATAAAACATGATGTAAGGAGAGTTAACAAAAATGTCAGGAAAAAACAATAAACTCAATTCAAAATAAAACTGTATTTGACAATTAATCAGGTTATTTTGATATTTCATTTTTGTAAATCTGAAGTGAAATATTTGGATTTCAATTTGAGGTCCTAATTAAGATACTATGCTTACTACAGGGATTGATTAAACAGGTAATATATAAACTTATGCTTTACTTTATGACTGATAGAATAAATCCACTAGTCATTTTAAACAACTCCCTGGTTAAGATTATGCAAATTAACCTGATTTATGAAGAATGAAAATATAAAAGCAAGGCACAATTCTTATACTTTTATTTGTAATTTTCCTTTTTTTTTTTTCTTTTTTAATCCTCACCCAAGGACATTTTTGCATTAATCTTGCGATAGAGTGGGAGAGAGGGAGGAAGAGAGAGAGATAAACATTGATTGCCAGAGAGACACATCAAGAGGTTGCCACCCACACGACCCCTACTGGGGGCTGGAGACAAACTGCAACCAAGGTACATGCCCTTAGCAGGAACCAAACCTGGGCCTCTCTGGTCAATGGGCCAACACTCTAACTTCTGAGCCGAATCGGCCAGGGCTATCTGTAATTTTCAAACAAGTAATTGAAAGACTATTGTTTACAGTATTTGACTTATAAAATAGTACTTACATGTGCCAAGTATTGTGCTTTCATATAGTCTTTATATACCTTATGTTCTTTAATCCTCACTAAAATCCAATGGAGTTGACTTTTCAAACTTTTCTTCACTAAATTTATTGGAGTGACATTGGTTAATAAAATTATATAGGTTTCAGGTGTCCAATTGTATGATACATCATGTGTATATTTCATTGTGTATTTACCCCCCAGAATCAAATCTCCTGTCATCATCATAAATTTGACCCCCTTTACCTTTCACCCTGCTATTTTCATTTTAACCAATTATGGCTAAGAAAACAAAGTGGGAGCGAGGTTCAAAATTATATACAAGGTCACAAATCTTATACGCAGTAAAACTGTGTTGTTGTTTTTTTAATCCTTACCCAAGGGCACTTTTCAATTGATTTTCAGATAGAGTGAGAAGGAGGGAAAGAGAGAAAAACATTGATGTGAGAGAGATACACCAATTGGTTGCCTCCCACAGGGCACCATCCAGAGCCAGGGATCGAACTGCAACAAAGGTATGTGCCCTTGACTGGAAGTGAACCTGCGACCCTTTGGTCCATGGGCCGACGCTCTAACTGCTGAGCCAAACAGTTCAGAGCAGTAAAGCTGTGTTTTAAATCCAGGCAGTCTGACTAAATGTTTTTGCTGTTAAAATATTATATTAAAAATATGAAAACTTCTGGGGAAATGTAGTTGTAATTATAATTGCTATTATTTATTGAGCATCTACTGTATTCTGGTGTTTTACATTCATAATCTAAATTAACCTCATTTAAAGTTAGAAATCATTACATTTTTTCATTTCATTTATCTTTATTATTGAAAGCATTACAGACGTACTCCCTTTTTTTCCCCAATGACCTCTTCCACCCTACTCCATCCCCCTGCCCCACCCCTCCCAGCCCAGGCCTTCACAGCACTATTGTCTCTTTCCATGAGTTATGCATATATGCATATAAGTTCTTTGGTTACTATCTTCCTGCCCCCACCCCCTACCCTCTGAGATTTGTCTGTTCCATGCTGAAATCATTACATTTTATAGGTGAGGAGGTGGAAGCTCATATAGATAAAATATGTTGCCCTAAATCACTAAGCTCAGAATTAGTGGACAGAATGTAAACATAATAGCCTATGGCTCCTAAATCTTTGCTGTTGTTGTTGTTGTTGTTGTTGTTTACCATGTTTAACATCTAATAGAACAATGGAATTGCCAATCAAACCACTCTGCTCTCCCACAACCCAACAAATATCTATATTAGATGATACAGTGATGCTGATTGATCAAGAAGTATGTAGGAATGAAGTGGGATGGAATATGCAAGGGACAGTGGGGAAAGGTAACAGAATATGATGGTGAGAAGAATTAGCCCTCTCACCCCTTGCCCTGCAATTGGAAGAATCAGTGATCTAGACATAGTGGTAAGTAGACCAAACAAAGAATTCTCACTGCTCCAACCATAACTTCTGGTCAAATTACTCATTATAGTGGTGACTTTAAATTGTTATGCCCATCACTATTTCATATGAATAGGTTTAATGAAAGTTATTATTTAGGTGATTCTGGCTCCTCAGGATTTTAAGACAGCCAGAGACTAAAGAAAAAAAATAGGATCTCAGGTTTCAAAGTTGTTAAAAGATATTTTTCTTCTAGAAAAAAAAAAAAAAAAAAGAATGGCTTAATAGAATAAGTTATTTTTATTACATAAGAACTAATTTCTATATAAAAATTTAATTCTAGCTTCAACCATGGGTTATAAAACTTTTCTGATTGTAACTTTTTGATTTACTTGCCTATATGTGTTAGGTGTCCAAAAGGCCAAAATCAAGTAGCAAAATCCTTTTTTGTGATAGCATCAACATGACTTCTGCATCAAAACTTCCACCATCATTCCTGCTGTCTCTCTGCTTCACCATCAACTCTTGCCTGGACCACTGCTATAGCTTCCTGTCTTCCTGCTTTTTACCTTGACTTCATATAATTCACTCCATAACACAGACAAAATGTATCTCTTTACATGTAAATTAGGCCATATCACTTCCCAGGCAAACTCTCCAGTGGCTTTCCAGAACACTTAGAAAAAACAAATAAACAAACAAAAACACCTTATTAGGGCCTATGAGGTACTGGCATTTATCACCTGGCTCTTTCCTGCCTCTCTGACATTCTCTCCTCTCTCCCTATTTCATTCTGTTACACTAGCCTTCTGCTGCTCCTCAAATGTATCAAAACTTGCTACCTTACCAGCTATTGCTCTGGCTGTTCCCATAGCTTGGGCCACTCTGGTTGCAGATGTTCCCATGGCTTTCTCCCTCCCTTCAGGAGTGGAGAAGTTCTGGCCAATGGGCTGCATAGGGCTGCAAAATCAGTACCAGCTAACATCGCATGCCTCACCAAATTAGGCTGACTAAATATAGCAGGCTAATTTTTAAGTTGATAATTTTGTATGGCCTACAAATTATTTATAAATATCCAAATGGCTCTTGGCAGAGAAAAGGTTCACCACTCCTGAATGGTTCAAGCATCACCCCCTCATAAGTTTTGACCACATTGTCAATCACTGCCTCTTGCCACCCTGCCTTCTATCATTCTCTATGACCTTACCCTACTTTATTTTTCTTTTGAGTGTTTACCAGTCTCTGAAGCTGTAATACTTATTATTAATATTATTATTTTTTAATTTATCATCAGTCTCCCTTCATTGCAGTTCAAGCTTTATAAGAATATAAATTTTTTCCCCTGGACAGTATGGCTCAGCAGTTAGAGTGTCGGCCTGTAGCCCTAATGGTCTCAGGTTCAATTCAACATCAAGGGCACGTAACTGGTAACTAGGTGGCAGGTTCCATCCCCATACAGGAGACAGCAAATCGATGTGGTTCTCTCACATCAATGTTTATCTCTCTCCCTTCCTCCCTTCCACTCTGTCTAAAAAAATCAATGGAAAAAATATACTTGAGTGAGGATTAACAAACAAACAAAAAATAATAGGAATTTCTTATTTTACTGGTTTATCCCCGGTGCCTAGAACAGTGCCTTGTATGTGCTCAATAATCAGCTGATATTGTTGCATTTAACAAAAGCATACAGTTCTCAAAGACATATTGGTTTTCACATGGAAGTTCGATGGCTCTTAAAGGGCCTACAATTTATAAGCATCACTATTCTCTAAGGCCAATGTCTAAAGAATTATAAACTGTATGTGTTGATTCTAATAGATTAAGTGGCTAATAAAATTGTATATCTTGCTAAAGACTCTTAGATGTTAGAGACTATATCAGTGAAAGATGTTATTAATAATTTAGATTTTAGATTTTATTAATAATTAAGTTAACCTAAGTATCCACTTACCTTATAAAAGCAGATTTCCATTTTACTAATCATTTGAATTGAAAATTAATAGTATCAACATAATATCACAATGATATGACCACAGATACCAAGCACATAAACATTTGATGAATAAATAACCATTCACTATCCAAGTAATGATTCTTAATTAAAAGAAGGAGGACATTTTTTCTAAATATTATGGGTAAAAGGCAGAGAATAGATCATATCAAAAAGAGATTTCTATTAGCAGGAGTGGTTCCCCAAAGTGTCTGCATAGTAGAAATCATTTGGGGATATCTCAAAACTTCTAATGCCCCCACCAAGCTCACACCAAATAAATCATATTTTCTGGTTGTAGGACCAAATTGCTTGAGACAAAATTCTCACATGTACAATTTGCTTGGTTCTTTTCTATGGCTATAAAACTATAAAAATGGAACAACTAGCCAATCAAATTTGTACAAAATTGATTTTGAAAGTTGTGTGAGTTTTAAAGTTTTAATGATTTGCAAGAAATAATTTAAGTTACTTTTCTGGCAGTAATATACGAAGCTCCGAATTTCCCACACTGTGCTCCATGGAACAGTACTCATCTAAACACTATCAATCTGAGAGATCTAG